TGGAGGCTCCAGCGGCCGGTCTACGGTCTCCGCCAGGCACCGCGTGAGTGGCACGACACACTGAGGACGACACTTGCGGCTCTTGGGTTCGCTCCCTCTACTGCTGACCCGTCACTGTTTCTACGCACAGACACCTCGCTGCCGCCGTTCTACATCCTCGTGTACGTCGACAACTTGGTCTTTGCCACTGCTGACACCGCGGCACTCGCCCACGTGAAGTCGGAGCTGCAGAGGAGACACACGTGCACAGACCTGGGTGAACTGACAAGCTATCTTGGCTTGCGGATCACCCGGGACAGAGCACGGCGCACCATCACCTTGACTCAGTCACACATGGTGCAGCAGATCCTTCAGCGCTTCCGCTTCACGTACTCCTCGCCTCAGTCCACTCCTCTGCCTACCGGTCACTCGCTCTCAGCTCTGCCTTCGGATGAGTCCGTAGAGCCGAGTGGCCCGTATCCAGAGCTTGTGGGCTGCCTCATGTACCTGATGACCTGCACTCGACCTGACCTGGCATACCCTCTTAGCATCCTTGCACGCTATGTCGCTCCTGGCCGTCACAGGAAGGAGCACATGGATGCCGCTAAGAGGGTGTTGCGCTACTTGTGCAGTACGTCGGGCATGGGGCTAGTGCTTGGAGGGCGAGACCGAGTTGTGCTCACAGGACACTCAGACGCTTCTTGGGCGGACGACCAGGCTACTCAGCGGTCGTCTCGTGGTTACACCTTCAGCCTTGGCTCTGGTTCAGTTTCTTGGCGTTCCACACGCTCTTCTTCTGTTCTCAGCTCCAGTTGTGAGGCTGAGATCTACGCCACAGCCATGGCTGCCCAGGAGCTACGCTGGCTGACCTACCTGCTGACCGACCTGGGAGAGCGGCCTCGTTCTCCTCCAGTGCTGTACGTCGACAACAAGGCTGCCATTGCCTTGTGTGAGGAGCACAGACTGGAGCACAGAACGAAGCACATCGCCCTGCGGTACTTCCTTGCTCGAGAGCTGCAGCAGCGCGGTCAGCTTTGTCTGCGTTACGTGGCCACTGAGGCCAACACTGCTGATGTGTTCACCAAGGCGCTTCAGCCTTGTGACCATCAGCGCTTTTGCACTCTACTAGGCCTTGTGCCTACTGGACCTCACTTGCTTACTTCTTGACCTTGTTTGTACTGTGATCACTATATATATATATATATACCTGCATGTTTACTCCTGCTAGGTTGTGATCACTGTATCTCTTGCTCTGTTATAAACCTGCATGTGAACTGGTCTTGTGACCACTTGCTTGTGCTCGGAATTTGTGTGGAATCCTTGAGATCCACCCTGAGCTTGTTGTGTCTTGCTTTGCTTTGACTGGTCTTGTGACCCCTAGTTCTCCCCCACTTTGCCTATGGGGGTGTGTCGAACATTATATATGTTGTGCTTGTTAGGCTACAGTGGGTTAGCCTATATGGGGTACACAATTCTAGGGTTTGCTATTTGTACTGATTTCCCTGTTAGTTCAATTATTCCTGTCAGTTCATTCTGACAAAAAATGCATTAACACAACGCTGGTCCCTTATGAGAATAACAAGCCAACGTCGGCCTTAGGAGAAAAGCAATAAGGCAACATGTACCCAACAAGGGCGCGCAACTTTTTTTGCGTAGAGAAAAATGTACAGACCAAGTTGCGGAACCGTCCGTTTTTTCGTCCGGACCAGCCACATCCGAGCGAAAGCCTGTCTGGGGAAACGGTTCTAGGAGAAAACTCAGAACCTTATAGGGCAGTAAGAAACGGTCTGGACGCCTGCGACATCGCATGGAGTCATGAAAATATGTTAAATGCGCTTGACAAACAATGTTACCGTATCGCCCCGGATATAACCGCAGGCCTATGTTAAGCGCATGCGCTTTTATCTGGAGCAATGCGCTTATGGCCGATCCTCAATTATAAGCGCACCCCCTAGAAAAACTTGATTTATTATAAGCGCATGTTAAATTCCACAGTTAAAATGTGTGAAAGTGCTGTAACGATTTTCCCTTTAGCAGGTTATCCTGCTGCAAATTCGGTTCCCTCACATTCTAACCCCGCACGGAATGCGATTCCAGTCAGCATGAGCTGTCAGGGGGGCACATTGTCAGTCACATCGACAGTATCTGCCGGCCGCGCGAGAATTTCACTCACGACCCCTTGTAACTTCGACTCGATTGGAAAAGCCAGCACGATATCTACAGTTTGGTGTTTCAATATTATAAATCTATAGTAGTCATTTTATAAGCGCATGCGCTTATAAAATGACTCGATTAGAAGCGCACCCCCCAAAAAAACACTGATTTATTATAAGCGCACCTGCGCTTTTATCCGGGGTAATACGGTACCAAATAAAGTCCGACCATCTCCAGACAGTCGGTTCGCGTAGCAGTTACGCGCCCTGACGCAAACGTTGTTGTACATATATCTATATATGTAATATATATACACACGTATCGTAACAACAAAAATGGTAGCTCCTTGTTTATGGTCGCAAAAAACATGTTTTATCATTTCTCCTAAACAGACCACTCAGCCTTGTTTTCAGTTACCAAAATGCACAGCGAGTGCTGGATAGGAGCTACATATTTACCTTTGCTGCAAATACACCGTACATGTTCAGCGTTAGAATCAGACTTACTGCATAAGTTGAAGACTATCTAATCATATCACCACTGAAATGGAAAGGTGGCTTTATAACAAAAGCGAGCCTTGCTATAGAGGCACGGGTCGCCCCACTCCATCAATCTTCCGTTCCGGAGATTCAATCCCAACCATCGGTCACACGTTTAGAGACTCCAGCGCGTCGCATTGTTTTTTGCAGACGCTTCGTCAGGAATACTGCACCGCACGATTCACCGACATTTGAATTTCGGAAAACTAGTTGTCGGAGTGCCAATCGTTGGGGAAGGTCGCTTTTGCCTCTGCTTCCATTCTGGCCTGCAGGCAACTCGTACGCACCTAGCCTTAGCCATATGCGGAGCTCCTAACCGCCTCTGCCTTTAGTTGAATAATAGCACTGTGCTGATGCGGTAATAGTCGTTAAGGAATCTCCGGAACACATAACTTCAATATCCAAGATTTTTTTTCTTAGTTTTTTTTTTAGGTGACTTAGTCCGCGATGTAAATCTGAAACATGCCCTTAAACGATAGCACTACGTACCCTCCTTTAGCGACCGCGCAAAGTCCATGACCGCTCGAACGCAACGTCAGATGCAAGGTGCGAGGGCTCGCCGCATCGAGATTTCGAAAATGACACTTCGTACAACTGCACGAGTAGCTAGAAACTAGCACCGATTCACAGCCCACTGCAGTATCTGAACCCCCGACGGGAGCTCGTAGTCCGATCACGAGTCGTGTACAGGAGCAAAACTGCCGCAGTCATATAGCTGCAAAACACGACTACGAAGTTCCGCCGAGAAGGCGGAGATGATGATGATGCAGCAGCATTGCGCCAGCGGCGCCAGCACCGCCGCTCACCGAGACGCGACGCAGTAGAAGCGCCGCGCGATCACCACCTCGCTCTGGTGGTAACGCGAGGTGGCTGCAGACTAGTACTAGTAGTAGCGCGATTCGTAATGAAGGGGGTTAAAATGAGGATCTTCGGGGATGCCAAGAGCGGATGGGCTGTGACGAGCTGGTTAGAGCGCCTGCTGCGGCACCTGCTGGTTATGATGACGGTAGTGGCAGTAGCAGCCTGCGGAGGGAGATATAATTTGGTGTCGGCTCAACTGGTGCACGAGTCGCAATGTAAGATTCTCTCGCGACTTGCCTCTACTCGCCTTCTCTCCGCCGCCTCCGCCCTTGTAACGCCTCCGCCCTTGTAACGCCTCCGCCCTTGTAACGCCTCCGTTGTAACGCCTCGCAGCGGATGCACTCAGCCTTGCGCTGCGGCGTGCTCCTCTCGTAACGCCTTCCCTTTTCCGACTGTATCCGACCACCCTTTCCCCTGCCATTCATTCTTGTACAAAAGGCAACCTTTCGCCAGCCTTGTGTGAGATTTTGCGCGAGCCTTTTTTTTCGTAAGTTACGCCCTCACGGGAGGCTCATCCCTTTCCCCTCCCACCCCCTTCTCCCCCACCCCCTACATCCCCTCTCTGCACCGCCCTCCCATGCCGCGGCCTGGAGGACAGTGCCCGCGCTCCAGTCGATCGCCGCCACGTGGCCCACAGCTACCACTGCCACGTGGCAGGACGGCTCGGAATGCTCGAAGTGGAGTGGCGTGTCATGCGATAAGGAGGGGTTTGTCAGCGCCATGTGAGCTCGCAAGGGGAATCGCTACGCGGGAGTTATACCCGGAAGGGGGGGAGGGGGGATGGGGGGAAGGGGAGGGACTACAACGCTAGAGGGGTTAACTTTGGTCCAGACTTGCGGAACCTTTTGTAACACGTGTTTTCTTTCCGGCTATGGTTTCGCCGCTACCAGCGAAATTTCGCAGCAGTACTGCGTTAGGTGAGTCGTCACCCGACTCCCTTTTCCATGTCCGTGGCTCCGGTTGTATCCTGATCCACTATCTTCCCGCTCACCGCTTCACTCTGTTTCCCGCTCCCTGATCCGCCCTGATTCGCCATCTCCCCGCGCCCTGATCCGCCATCTCCCCGCTCCCTGATCCGCCATCTCCCCGCTCATTCGCCCATCTCCCCGCTCATCCGCCATCTCCCCGCTCATTTGCCCATCTCCCCGCTCATTCGCCCATCTCCCCGCTCATTCGCCCATCTCCCCGCTCATTCGCCCATCTCCCCGCTCATTCGCCCATCTCGTCGCTTTCCCCGCAGCGACCTCAGAAACGGGGATCTGGAAGGTCTATGCCTCCCGCGTTAACTTTTGAGTCGTCTCTGATCCACCATCGCCCCGCTCCCTCATACCCTTCCCCCACCTCTTCCCCGCAGTGACCTCAGCAACCCGGAATTTGGAAGGCTCCCTGGCGTCCGCGTTGACTTTCGAGTCAACTCAAATCACCTCCAATCCGCCATTGCCCGCCATCGGCTCCCTCTCCCTGCAGTGACCTTAGCAACCAGAACCTGGAAGGCTCCCCGCCGTCTGCGCTCTTCACGCTCACGTCGCTTCAACAACTGTAGGTCGCCTCAAAAAGGGCGGGTAATGGGATGTGACGACTTTTGAGACGCCTGAAAAGTAGCATTCTCTGCCGTCCGTGCTCTTCACTCGCACGTCGTTTCACGCAGCTCTGTCTGTGGGTTTGTGGATCTCACGCAGATCCGCAACGAATGCTGTGCTGACGCGCACGGCATGTGTCCCCAGAGGGGAACGGGTTTAGTCGACTCCAAACGCACCTCTCATGTGGCTTCAACAACTGTGCGTCTCGCGTAGATCCACAGCGAATGATGCGTGGATCCTCTCATGATGCGCGCATACCACGTCGGCCCATGTGGAAGTGTTTTGAGCCGACTCAAACCACACCTCTCACGTCGCTTCAACAGCTCTGTGTGTGTCTGGCGCAGATCCACAGCGAATGCTCGCGCACACGCCCAAAAGCGTCCGCACGAGATAACACCACTCGCAGCGACTGTGACTCGAGAACGCTCAGTCATGCAAGAAGTCCCTTCAATCCCCACATGGAGAACGAAACTTACGTGTGGGAGCAAGCCTCACTCACTCCCACACTGAATCGCTTCCAGACTGCAACTTGCTCGCTCCCACACTTTGTTTCGTTCTCCTTTCTTTCTGGCCGCTGACTGCGAACACTCTGCATCATCCCAGGCACAGGTGCTCGCATGCTGCTTTTTTCCCGATCTCTCTGCATCACCACCCTTCTTTCCTCCATTCCCTCCTCCCTCCCCCTTCAGAAAGCTCAACGATAATTCGTTAGAGGGCTCTCTGCTGGATGCTATAGGGAACCTAACCCAACTAACCCTGCTGTAAGCATGGCGCCGCAGCAACAAATGTAGTGCTTGCCTCTACACTTCACACGGCAAGTGAGGCCGCACCGTGGGAAAGCTCGAATGGAAGGGTTTGGGATGGTTGAAGCGAGATTTTGCTGCGGAAGAGTAAGAGACATAGAGGGGGATGTGTTGTCAGGAGGGCAGGGAGGCCGACCCAGGAGAGGCCCTGCTAAACCCCAAACCCGAGAACATAAACCCTTTTATACAACATGTGAGGCCGCACCTGTTCCTCACACGATTAACCCTCCGAGGGCCCTGCTAAACCCCAAACCCCAAACCCTGTCAGGTCTCTGGGCAGAAACGAGCTCTCAGGACCCATCCCTCCCCCGCTCTCCAACCTTCAAGCTCTCAAGTACCTGTGAGTCCTATGTTTCATTTGTGGAGCCCCAAAGCTCCTATGTTTCATTTGAGGCGCCTCAAAAGCCATTCCTGCCCCGCTCTCGAACCTCCAAGCCCTCAAGTACCTGTGAGTCCTATCCTATGCTTCTGATGAGAGATATGCAGTGCGCTCATACTCCCTTTGAGGCTCCCAGTAATTTCTGTTAACCAAGAACTCGTTAGCGTGTGCGTCCGTTTATGTGAGTGCTGGAGTGTGAACGGTGTATACGGGTGTGCATGGGTAGTTACATTTGAAGGCCTACAGAATGAGCTAGTTTGTGTTGCCGATGTCGCTGTGACTATGTCTAACGGCCTGGTTGTGCTCGCGTTCGTACCGCACCCTTCTGAGTGACAACAAGTTGTCCGAGACAGTTCCAGCAGAGCTAGGGAACATCACAACGCCCGAGTGTGCTTGTTTTGCCGGTGTCACGGTGGCTGTATCCTATCGACTGAGTTGTGCTTGTATTGCCAATTTCTTTGTTGCACCGCAGCCTTCTGAGTGACAACGAGCTGTCCGAGACGGTTCCAGCAGAGCTAGGGAGCATAACAACGCTCGAGGCGCTGTAAGTGGGTTGCAAAGCAGTGCGCATACGTATATCGGGGTGCTATATGTATCACAAAGCGTCTTACCATTGACAGGAGGTGCGATGTGGGAGTGCTTGTAAAACTGCCTTTGGTGGGCATCGGTGGGCCTCCTTTGGTTCCAAACAGCCTTGCTTTGCAGAAAAGGCTTTCCTGGTCCTGCCTGCTCACTTCCTCCCATTCCCTCCCACACATGCGCCCGCGCGAGCTTGTTGAACCCATGCCTTGTTACCTCGCACTGGCCATCACTTCTTGGCTCCTTGAAGTGCAAGGAGACCTGGCAAGGAGACCTGGCAAGGAGACCTGCCAGGCCCTCCTTGCCTTGCCGCTGCTCCACTCGTGCATCCCTTTTCCACTCTCTCCTCCCTCTCACGCTCCTTCCCGCTACACCTCTCCCTCCCTCTGCGCCTCTCCCTCCCCCTGCGCCTCTCCCTCCCTCTGCTCTCCTGCATGCTCAGGGACTTAACCATGAACCGCCTCTCAGGCTTCCTCCTGCCATCACTGCTCCACCTGCCCAACCCTTCACACTCCTTCACCACCCTCCTCCTCCCCCTCTTCTCACGCATCACCCCTCTCCTTCCCTTTGCCCCTCTCCCACTTGCCCAGGGACTTAAGCATGAACCGCCTCTCTGGCTTCCTGCCGCCCTCACTGCTCGACTTGCCCGCCCTTGTCTACTTGTACGGTGGGGCAGGCCAGGTCCCTGTTGACACAGTGCGCTTGCACTCGGTTCTCATTGCTCTTCACTTTACCCGTATGGAGCTTTCGCGTTCTCGAAATGCCTACAGACAGCCAATGACAGTGCACTCACTGGTCGGTCAGATGTATTCGGGTCACTTTAGAGAATAGTCAAAAGTGGAATGCCAGATTCTGAAAACAAAAATCAGTTTCCCTAATATGGCACGGCACAGAGTGTGAGTGCACCCGTCCCTCCGTCCAACCATCCCAACGACAATCTCCCACAACTAACTCCCCTCCACCCCCATTTACCCTCAACCCACAATGACGTTTTCAACAATATCAGTCAGGTTCCTTTCCCTTACCCTTCTCCTCTCCCTCCCTTGCCTCTCCCCAAAACCACCTTCAATTCTGTGCATCGAACCAGCTCTCCCTGCACACTCAACCTCCGCACCCACCCTTCCTTGCCCCATTCCCCCCTCGCAGGGATATATCCAATAACGAGTTTTCTGGACCCCTCCCTTCCAGTTTCGCCTCCCCCTCCCTCGCCTCCCTCCCCCTCGCCACTTACAACGTCGAGAAAAACTTCTTCACAGGGTCTGCCCGGGCAGAAATCTCAGCTGGAAAGCTTTCCTTCTGCCCGGAGGACCAGCAGGGAGGCTTCGCAGCGGCGAATCTGCTCCCTTATAGTCCGTCTCAGTACGGTTCAGTGCGAGGAAACTGCCTCAACCCGAGAGGAGGGGGAGGGTGCGATGGTGAGGGGAGGCAGCGGAAGCAGGGGGAGTGTTTGGCGTTTTGTGGGGTAGGCAGTGTCCAAGGAGTGTGTGGGGGGCACGGGAGGTGCTTTCTCAAGAGCCCTTCGAGAGTGCCCGTGTGTGTGTGTGAGGAGGGGTATTATGAGGATACGGTGGAGATGAAAGGGGGTGGTTACCCTACTTGTTCGGCGACCAAGCCTGAGAATCCGCCGCCTCCCTTTCCACCAGACATACCATTGGATGGAGGTAAGCCGTGATGTTTGTGTGTGTGTGTATGTGATTTTGAGTGTGTGTGTGTGTGTGTGTGTGTGTTTGTGTGTGTGTGTGCATATGCGCGTGAGTATGTGTGTGTGTGTGCCCTTGCGCGCGCATGTGTGTGTGTGTGTGTGTGTGCGTGTGCGTGTGCGTGTGCGTGTGCGTGCGTGTGCGTGTGCGTTGTGTGTGTGTGTGTGTGTGTGTGTGTGTGTTTGTGTGTGTGTGTGTGTGTGTGTGCATGTGTGTGTGTGCGCTTGAGTGACTGTGCTTGTAAGTTCCCCTTCTCTCCTTTACCCATTCCCCTTTAATCAGACGACCCACAGAAGCAGCGCCACAAGCCAGGGTTAAAAGACAGGGACTTCAAGGCCGTGCCGGCAACCACCCCGTCGCGCTTCAACCGCTTCTTCCGCCACGCCAGCCTAGGGTTCAACGGCACTGCTGCACAGACCTCTTGGGCATACAGGAGGGAGGGGCCGCGGAAGTCAACAGCCAGAAAGACCGCGCCCGCGACCACCCCTTCGCGCTTCAACCGCTTCTTCCCTTTCTCCGATCTGCCTTAATCCCTCCACTCAGACGACCCACAGAAGCAGCGCCACCGGCCGGGGTTGAGGGACAGGGACTTCAACCACCCCCTCACGCTTCAACCGCTTCTTCCGCCACGCCAGCCTGGGGTTCAACGGCTCGGCCTCCCAGCACTCTTGGGCGTACAGAGAGGGGACATGGGTGTGAATTGCCAGAAAGGCTGTGCCAGCAACCACCCTCCCGCTTCAACCACTTCTTCCCTTCTCCTTATCTGTTTCCCTCCATCCAGAAGACCCACAGAAGCAGCGCCACCGGCCAGGATTGAGAGACCGAGACTTTAAAGCCGTGCCAGCCACCACCCCCTCGCGCTTCAACCGCTTCTTCCGCCACGCCAGCCTGGGGTTCAACGGCACAGCCGCGCAGCCCTCTTGGGAATACCGGGAGGCGGTGGACTGGCGGGGGATGGTGGTTGTGAGAGGGAGGAATGTGACGGTGGTGCCTCCGGTGAAAGACCAAGGCTTGTGCGGTGAGTGGTGGGGGAGGGAACACTGGGTTGTGAATAGCTAGAAAAGGGTGTGAATGTTGCAGCCCTGGTTGGGGTGGTGTGCATCACTTGAAAACCTTGCAATGGAAGCAAGTGAGTCTGGGGTTCAACAGCAAAGCTGTGCAGCCTTCTTGGGAATACCGAGTGGCGGTGGACTGGCGGGGGCTGGTGCTTGTGAGAGGGCGCAACGTGACGGTGGAGCCTCCGGTGAAAGACCAAGGCTTGTGCGGTGAGTGATGAAGGAGGGGAGGCAATGGCGCAGGAGGGGAGGTGAGTGGTGCAGGAGGAGGGGAGGTGAGTGGTGGTGGAGGAGAGGTGAGTGGTGGAGGAGATGGGTGTGAAAAGCCTGTGGTGTGAGACGCATCAAAAGGTTCGATGAAAGCAACGGAGTGTTAAACAACTGAGCGCATTTCTTCCAACTGCCCTGCTCTTCTCCTTCCTCCCCCTCCCTGTCAGCTGCCTGCTGGGCTCTGGAGCCGGTGGCAGCAATAGAGGCAGCCTATGCCATAGCATACGGCGCCAATCTCGCCAACTGTTGTCCCTCTCCTCTTCCTTCTGCTCCACACTTCCCTACCCTTCTTCCAATCAGCTGCCTGCTGGGCTCTGGTGCCGGTGGCAGCAATAGAGGCGACCTATGCGATAGCATACGGCGCCAACCACCCCAACCTGTCCAGTCAGCAGGTGCTGAGCTGTCAGGGCACGTGGCAGTGCATGGGTGGCATTCCGGCCGACGCGTTCCAGTTTGTGGCGGCGATTGGAGGGGTATCACCAGAGAAAGCAGTGCCGTACACGGGCGTGGTGAACGCCAGTGACTGCAAGGTGCGTGACTGACTGCAAGGTGAGGAATGAGTAATGAGCATGTGAGCCTGTGTGTGCGTGGTTCCAGTTTGTGGCAGCTGTTGGAGGGGTGTCAGCAGAGAAAGCAGTGCCGTACACAGGGGTGGTGAACGCCAGTGACTGCAAGGTGAGGAATGAGTATGTGTGTGCTGAGAGTGATCCTAACACGCTCTGAAAAGCCTCAAACACAGGAATCAGCCTCCTGCTTGAACGTGAAACCAGCAGCCACATGTGTCAGGCCTCTCTCTCTGGCCTGTTGAAATTACCCTTGAGAATTCTAAAGAACACTGAGAAAATGTGTCAAACATGTGTCGGGCCTCTCTCTGCCCTCTTTTCCCCGCCTGTCCCTTTCCCCTCAGCTTCTCCCTACAAGTTTGAAGCCTGCAGATGCTGATAAACGTGCCTCGCGCCAGTCCACACCACAACCTGCAGCTGCCAGGCCTACCGCCAAACCTCCCACCAAGGCTCTAGCTGGACCTCTCACCGGGCCTGCTTCCGGGCCACTGAAGCAGCAGCGTAAGAAGGCTGCAGCGCAAGCCATCAAGGTTGCAACCTCAGCTCCTGAGGCTGCTGCCGGACCTCCTGCCAGGCCTGCCAAATCACGAACCAGGGGAGAACGGTCACCTTCCAAGCCTGCTTCTTCTTCTGCTGCTGCTTCTGCATCTGCTGTTGCTGCTGCTGCTGGCAGAGGCCGGCAAGCCATGGTTCGGGCGGCAGCTGAGCGTGGAGTGGCCTCATCAGCATCCATGTCAGTATCCACATCAGCATCCACGTCAGCATCCACGTCAGCAGGCAAAACGAGAACATCTTCACCTTCAGTTACAGACGATGGCGATGACGGCAAGCGCACGCGCCCCTCCCCCTCCCTCTCCTCCATCTTCTCCCAACTCTTCCGCCGATTCATAAGGCCCAACCAGCCGCCCAAGCTGCCCCCAACCCCGGTGCCCCCGTCCTCCTCCCCTCCTCCCCCTGCCTTCCCTCCTCAACCGCCCGGCATCCACCCCCTCTCCGGCCGCTTCACCATTTCCATGTTCGAACAGGTGCGCTCAATCGGCTTGAACCCCTTGTTACCGCACTCAACCCAGCTGTTGTGTTGTGTTCCTCCTCACATCACCGTGTTCCCCATCTATCTCTATGTTCCGGAAATACACATGGCTCGCTGGACTACAATAGACGCGTGGGCTGAATTGGCTTGAATCTCCTGTCACCGCACTCAACCCAGCTGTTGCGTTCCCCTCACACCACCCCACCTCACTGTACTTCCTCGGTACTCACTCCCTGTATTCACTCTCTTCACATACTGCTTGCTGCTGTAACGTGGCAGGTGTCGGTCCCTGGTTGGCTGGGAATGGTGCTGGCGCTGCAGGCTCAGCCAATCATTGCCAACGTGGAGGCAGATCAACTGTCCTTCATCAACTACCAGGGGGTGAGTTGTACTCTGTGTAACAGAACGGGGGAAAGATGTACGTTACGCAGCCAATAATTGCCAACGTGGAGGCGGATCAACTGTCCTTCATCAACTACCAGGGGGTGAGTTGTGTCAAGTCCGTGAACTTACAGAGGGTTAAGTTGTCTTTTGAGTCGACTCAAAAGTCAACGTGGAGGTGGACCAGCTCGTCCTTATCAACTACCAGGGGGTATGTGTAAGAACTTAAAACGTACAATTTTATACCAGAGACCAAGTTGTATATAAGCTTAATGCTTAAGTTAAATCCAGGGGGTATGCTGTTCTCTGTGTAACCGAGAGGGGTCAGATTGTAAGTGGTGCAACCCTGAGCAGTGATGCTTTACCCGACTGAAAGGGAGCTATGTAGAAACTTTCAAGGTGTGAAGGAGGGAGCATATTGCAGGGAAGAGGGTGACAACAAGCTGTCACACCAGAAAGAAGAGCAAGGAAGGTTACAGTGCCAGGCGGGGAAGGCAAATGTATCAAGCAGGAAAATCAGTCCATTTAATGGGAAGAAAACTTACCCAAGGTATTGACAGTCCCCTCTTAAATGTAAGATCTTTCCAGAGGTTCATCGTGTTGATTGGGCCTTCTTCATGTCTCACTCCCCTTCAACCCCACACCCTTCAGGGCTTTGTTTACGCGGATCCTGATTGCTTCGCGAATGGAGTGGTGAATCACATAGTGCTGCTGGTGGGGTACAGCACGGTGGGAGTGACGCCCTACTTCATCCTGCAGAACACCTGGGGATCCACCTGGGGCGATGGCGGCTTCATGCAGATGGCCATCGAAGCAGGTGATTCTCTCATCTGGTTCTTCTTGTTTCTTGGTTCTTGCACAGAACGAAAGGAAGAAAAGTATACCTAGCTTCTTTGAACACCTGGGGACACACTTGGGGCGAGGGCGACATGCAAATGGCCATCAAGCAGGTGCTTTTCTCTTCGCGTAGAGTAGAACAAAACAGAGTATCCTAACTGATACCCTCACTGTCCGATCCGAGGGTTGTCAGTGTTATGACTGTTGCAAGGCATAACATTAAGAATGTCATAGAAAATCAAGCAAACACGTGGTACTAGTATGTTTTTGTCTCTCGCACTCTCACTTTCAGTCTGATTGAATCCATATTTTTCACCAGCCTTCTTGACATCCACCCGCCTCCATTACCAAATCAAACCACATGACCCCACAAAGCACCACTCACCTCCAAAATACCATCATCCCTGCCCATCTCTCCATCCGCCTGCAAACCCCCACACAGGCAATGGCATCACCAGCGCACCTGCCTTATACCCAGTGGTAGCAGGTTCGCTCCCTAGTCAGCTCGTCAACCCGTAGCGGCATGTTCTGTGGCACCTCAAAAGTCGCCACTCCATTCCCCCCACCCCCCCGCACACTCAGGCAGCGGCATCTGTGGCATCAACACCACTCCCGCCTTGTACCTAGTAGTGGCTGGTTCGCTCCCGTGTCAACCCACAACACACATATACCATTATCCATACTTCTGTCCTTATCCCCCTCACAACCAACACACAGGCAACGGCATCTGTGGCATCAACACCACTCCTGCTTTGTACCCAGTGGTAGCTGGCTCGCTCCCCTGTCAGCCCATCAACCCATGTGGCAGCGGCAAGTGCAGCAACCGTGCGGGAAAGAGCAAATGCGTGTGTTCACCTGGGTTTACCACAGCCAAAAATATCGATGGGTCTGAGACATGCATTCCAGGTAGGAAGAAAACGCTAGGCTAGTTCGCACAACCCACTATCCCCGTCTCTCTGCCCCTACCTCTATAGCAAGTGCGTGTGTGCACCTTGGTTCACCGCTGCAAGGAACATTGACAGTTCCAAGACCTGGCACTCCAGGTGAGCTGACTTTTGAGGCGCCTTAAAGGAAGAAAGGAATAAGTTCACACAAACCACAGTTCCTGCCTCTCTGTGGCCCCTCTCGAGCAAGTGTACGTTCTGCTTCCACTTCCCCCATCTTTCCCTCCATTCCCCCCATCCACCCTCGCTCCTACCAGTCCACGTGTGCGCCATGTCAGCAGCTAATCCCTGTCAGGTTGGCACGTGTCTGGATGACGGGGCAGGCGGCTACAACTGTCTGTGTCCTCCGGGGTTTTTGGCAGACGAGCGACCTGATGAAACCCCTGTCTGCGTGCCGGGTGGGTACCACACAAAAAGGTATTATGTTAAGTGTCTGTCTGTTTGTTTCGTCTCAAAGCGCAAAAAACGTGTCTCTTCATAGCTACTACGTAAAACATGTGGCTCTGTTCACATTCTGATGAAACACCAATTCAAACCCGATGAAATGAAACCTCTGTCTGTGCACACCACCCAACATGTTGAGTCCTCATCATCCCATTTTCCCTGTGTTCTGCTGTCCGCCCATTCTCTCCATCCACCTTACATCCCCCCAGCGTTGTTATTCCTTCTCTCATCCGCCCTGCCTCTCACAAAAAGTCCGCCACCTCTCCCCACCTCTCTCCTCCCACCTCTCTTTGTGCATTTGAACTATGACAAAACCGTGCCTCCCCACCCCTTTTCCATCCCCTTCCTCTTCCCGTTCCGTGCCAGGTGTCACTCCGTCAGAGGTCCACGTGGTGCCAGGGCTGACGTGTGACATTGTGAGGTCGACATTCGGCATGTCCGAGGCCAACTTCACTCTGTTCAACCCGGTGAGCTGGAAGCAAACCGCCACCCACTAGTGCCACCATGCATCAATGCGCCTCTGCCACTAGTGTGTTGCCGCATGATTAACACACAGCGTGCGGTCGACATTCGGCATGTCAGAGGCCAACTTCACTCAGCTCAACCCGGAGGGTATTTCAGAAGCCGCATTACGCCACCATGCCAGGCATCAATGCGCCTTTGCCACTAGTGCACATCTTAGGCGCCTCAAAATCGGCGGCCAACTTCCCTCATCTTAAACCGGTGGGCTGAACTCAACTGACTTATGAGTCGACTCAAAAGTCAACTCAAATGGTGGGCTGAACTCAACCGGTATCAACCGGTCGGTGTCACCCACTAGTTGGTGAATTTACCTGCATCACAACACGCATCAGTGTGCCTTTAAAACTAGTGCCTTGCAACACCATCACCACATAGCTTCCGCCCGCTTCGCTCACCATCACATGAAACTGCACTCTCAAGCGGCCGTTGTGTTGATGCTGCTCTCTCTCCCTCTGTCCAGCCCCGAGCAAAAGTTCATGAGTATGGTCGTCCTCCCTGGGTGTGCCCCTGTGTTTTGAGTCGACTCAAAATGAGCCGTGTAAGTGATGTCACCCTATGCAGAACTTCCGATATTGCCCTTCTTGTTTGCCCCCTTATTTCCCCCATCCCCAGAAGCTCAACTGCTCCAGCCTTGCCATTGGAGACGACATTTATGTCAGCAATGGCACCCTGTGTGCCACTCCCTATACTGTCACCGCTGTAAGCCCACCACCACTCTTTTTACTGTCCCCACTGTAAGCCACAACAGTTTGTAACTGCTGTTTGCATCCCAAAGAGGCTTTCTATGCCTTCATGCCAGGAGCAACCGGCCCTTCTGAGGAACTTCTGCTAGTCTCAAATGTGTTGCACCATTGTCTTTGTGCGTACGACCAATGGCAGGATGACACGTGTGAGAGCATTGCAGCAGCGTTTAGCATGAGTCGCTCGGAATTCCTCAAGCTGAATGACGACCTGCCGTGTGGGAGGCTAAAGGCCGGGCAACAGGTGAGGGTTGCAGGCATGTGTTAGAGCATGGCTGTTCATTGTTTGTGTGAGAGCATCGCTGCAGTGTTCAGCATGACTCGCTCAAGCTGAATGACGACCTGCCGTGTGGACGGCTAAAAGCCGGGCAACAGGTGGGGATAGCATGGTGACTTTCGATTCGACTCTAATTGTCGGTCACTTTCTCAATATCTTTGTTGTTTGTTGTTCTCTGTTTCTTGTGCAAGCAGGTGTGCGTGGCGCATGGCACACCAGACATGCCAGCATGCCAGGAGTTTGTGACTGTAGCGGAGGGAGACAGCTGCGACACAATAATGAGGGCTGCTCGTCCGCCTCTGAGCGCACAGGAGTTCTACACGTTGAACCCAGGGATCAACTGCAACGTGGGCGAGCAGATGCTGCTAGGCCAGCAGGTAAGGCACTGTGCACATAAGTTTCCACTCACTAATGTGACAGCTGCGACACAATAATGAGGGCTGCACATCCTCCTCTTAATGCACAGGAGTTCTACACGTTGAACTCGGGGAACAACTGCAACGTGGGCGAGCAGATGCTGCTAGGCCAACAGGTGAGAACACTTTTTGGTCGATTCAAGAGTTTGTGACTGTAGCAGAGGGCCACAGCTGCGACACAAGGGTTGAATGACCTCCTCTGAGCGCACAGGAGTTCTACACATTGAACCCAGGGATCAACTGCAACGTGGGACAGCAGATGCTGCTAGGCCAGCAGGTAAGCTACGGGAGGCCTTCTTAGTGGCATTCCCAACCACAACAATAATGAGGGCTGCACGTCCCCCTCTAAGCGCACAGGGGTTCTACACGCTGAACCAAGGGATCAACTGCAACGTGGGCGAGCAGATGCTGCTAGGCCAGCAGGTAAGGCACTGTACACAGTGGTTGCCACTCACTACTGTAACAGCTGCAACACAATAATGAGGGCTGCACGCCCTCCTCTGAGCGCACAGGAGTTCTACACGCTGAACCCAGGGATCAACTGCAACGTGGGCGAGCAGATGCTGCTAGGCCAGCACGTAATAATTGCGGGCAGAGGGCGACAGTGTGGGCAGAGGGCGACAGTGTGGGCAGAGGCCGACAGTGTGAGCAGAGGGCGACAGCTATGACACCTTAATGACGGCTGCATGTCCGCCTCTGGGCACCCAGCGGAGGTGGCACATGCAAAGAGCTCCCCACTCTCCCCAACTCTTCCTTTTCCACAGACCAGCTTCCCCCACCCTTCATTCACCCCAATTTTTCTGCCCTGGTTCCACTTGCTTCGTGTGCAGGTGTGTGTGCGCGGTGGGATGTCAAGTATGCTACTAGGAGCTTCTCGATGCGTGACAAATTCGCTCTACACAGTTGTGACGGGAGATACATGTGCACGCATCATTGCTCTTTACTACAAGAGCTCCTCACGATTATTGGCGCAATACAATTCGGGTTATGCGTGTACAAACAGCCGCTTATACAAGGGCATGCAACTTTGCAAGCCACCTTAGGTCGTTTACACCACCTGTTATTGTGTGTATTTAGCATACGGAACCACACGGCTCTTTCTGTGGCTTAATATTTTGTAGGATCCGGCTATACAGTACTGAACCACATATGATTGTATTATTTTATTTAATAAACTGATCTCACGCACCAGAACAAGGATTCAAGAATCTTGCTTTGTTATCAATCTTCAGCTTAGTTTCTAAAAAATCCTATCTAGTTCCAACGTATGTACATGCACACGCACCACCCAATAGAAAACACCACCCAACATACGTTCATGCTCTTCTATGTAGTAAAGATCAGTATGTTGTTTTCTATTGGGTGGTGTGTGTGCATGCATCATGCGACATACAGCATGTGTAAACTACTATATAATGACTTATTCTGAGCAAATTATTGTAGCTTTGAGAATGCCTCACATTTGATCCAATGTATACACCATGCATTCTGCAGTCAAGTCCGTTCTAAAATCGAAGTCCTCGCTATGTCCCAAACCCTAGGGTCGGCATGGCCAAATGTGTTTTGGCACCCGCATCCGTCTTTCTGGTCCCTAGAGAGCCTCCTAATCTCCACCCCATCTCAACAGGCTGCTCTAATCCGAACTAAGAGCTGGCTTTTTTAGCGTCTCGAATGTCGCCTAGCTGCATGTAGAGCTGAACTGCGTGCTGCGATATAATCAATCCACGTGTATATTCGAGGTAGCTGCTCCTGAAAGGCCAGGGTTAGCGGAGTGAACATCTTGCTGGCCGCAGCGCACTCATTCTCCGGCAGTGACCCAGCGTTGTGCTGCTCCAGGTGAGTGGTCGACTTCACGCAGTCGTAGCAACGGTAAGTCGTGTTAGTCAGGACGAACACAAGTGACCTTACCTATCGAGCCTATATTCAGTTCTAGAAGTACTTCTGGATCTGCTTGTCTTCTTGAATTCCTAGCCCTTCTACCAAAGTCGTTCCTTTGTTTCCATCCTTAGCAGTCCGCGTCCAGATTAGTACCAAGTACTCGATCCCGCAGTATGGGGTCCACACATATGAATTCTCTTCCGACCCACCTCCTTGTGAAGATCTTATGGCATACCAGCCAACCGATAGTAGGCGTATCTGATAGCGACGAGTATACGCGCTTGAGTCAATGGCCCAATTTCCTCGGTGCGTATCGGTCTGAGAAGAGCATCTCTCCCGTACAAGCACCTCCTGCTTACGCAGATGCCGCGTGGAATCTGCTCATCGCTTCCGTCTGCCGTGACTGGCGTCGTCTCGCTCGGCGCCACGTCAGCAGCCTTTCTGTCCGAGAGGATCGCGTCGTTTCCCGCCAAGATCTCGCGAACGCCATCAGTTGTTTCCCGAATCTGACCCACCTCCATTTGAACGACGGGAGTGTGGAGGCCGTTGACGACGCCTTCCTCGCTCACCTGGCCTTCACCAGCCCTAATCTCAAGGCGCTGCACGTGGGAAGCAGGATCAACCTCTTTGACGGCGAAACTGCTGCTGTCTTCGAAGGCCATGGATTTCCAATAACAGAAGATCGGCATCCAGTAACACAAGCTGGTTTGGATCAGCTCTTCAGACGGTGCACAGGAATCGAGCAGCTTTCGCTCTTCTGCCTCCACCGAGATGTGAAGCTGCCTCCTTAGTTCCTCCAACTAACTCGCATGCGTACCCTTGTACTAACAGACTCCAATGTTTTAGAAGCTCCAGGTTTTGCCGGCTTCCGTTCTCTCTCCACTCTCGTCATAGCCTCACAAGTCCTCAGTACTCGGCAATTCTTAGGCCTTCGACGTCATCCAAACCTTTCCAGTCTTTCCATAACTGACACCATTGCCAATGTCTCTCGTTATTCCCCATCTCTACAGCTACCCTCTCTGACGTCGCTGCAAGTCAGTTGCGGCGAATCTTTTTACAAGTTGTTTCCTTCAGGCTCACCAGGCACCAATCTGCAACGGTTAGAAATTCGCGGGGTCTCCTCTCGTAAGGTTTTCCGCACTGACATTGCAGACCTGATGCCGGGTCTGCGGGAGCTGAAGCTTTTCTGCTGCAACAACTTTACTAAGCTGCCAAAGGAACTGACCTCCCTCAGACAGTTGGAGAGCTTGCACATCGCTTCTTGCTCTCAGCTTTCCAGCCTTCCACAAAACCTCGGAAAAATGTCGTCTCTCAATCGGTTGGAGCTGACATCGTTGTATCTCACGTACCTCCCTGACTCCCTCTGCGAGCTCACATCCCTGGAGTACCTCTCTCTCCTCAGCTGCCAAGATCTTCGTGAGCTGCCAGCGGAATTCTCCCATCTCACTGCTCTTGAGACGTTGTATCTGGGACCGTCGCCGCTGCTGATGTTTCCACATGACATCGGAAGTCTCAGCAACCTGAAAACCCTTCTCCTGGAAGAGAATTGTGAGGATCAGCGGCGGCTCCCAGCTTCCTTCACGCAACTCTCTGCCCTAACACATCTTGAGATTGATCAGTCCAATATTGCAGGACTTCCTGAGGACATATGGATGCTGAGTAAGCTGAAGCACCTGCACTTGTGCTCCTGCTCTAAACTCACTCGGCTTCCAGCCTCCCTCTCATGCCTCACTGGATTGGAGATCTTGGTGGTTGATAGCTGCGACCGGCTCTCTTCAGTCCCAAGGCTGGATGGTTGCACAAGGCTGAAGCGGCTGGAGCTGATTCGTTGCAAGCAGCTGGCTGACCCCCCTGCATCACTCCCTCCCTCCCTGGAGATCCTAGCCATGCCGAGTTACCAGCAGCTTGCTCCTCGAGTCGACATGCCTGATCTGCCACACCTGAGGAATCTCACTCTCGGTAAGGTGGATGCTGGAAGCAGCCTGGCAGCGGCCATGGGAGCATCGCGACTGAGGCAGCTGAATCTGGAGCTGGTGGACGAAGCTGAGGATCTCCCCTCTCCCTTTCCTGTCCTCCCGCACCTCCACACCTTGCTGATTTGGGGAGTTGCGAGGTATCCCGATGCTTATAGCGGCAAGCTGGCAAGGCTCCCTGAAAGCATTGGGTCGTCTTTGCCACAGCTGCGGAGGCTGCAAGTCAAGAATTCATGCTTGAGAGAGCTTCCGGCAAGTGTGTTTCAGCTGCGGTGTTTGACATCATTGGAGATCGTAACATCCAGTCTTCTGCCATCTCTCCCTGCCGGCATCAGTGCTCTGACTCGGCTGCGCAAGCTGGAAATGAGCGGTTGCAAGGCCCTGCAGCATCTGCCTGCTTCCCTCACCCACCTCACATGCCTCCAGGACCTTGACGTTTCATACACCAGCATTCGCTCCCTCCCTTCCGGATTTGGTAGACTGACCAGGCTGAGGCGACTTAATCTGAACAGTTGTGGGGAATTGGAAGCTCTGCCGGAGGACTTGACAGAGCTGAGGATGCTACGCTACTTGGGTGTTCAAGATTGCAATCGCGTGAAGGATAGTAGAGGAGACTTGTTACAAGCTCATGACATCTACAAGATGTATGGGCTGGAGATTAGCTTTGAATGCACGGATCCAGAAGAGGATGAGTCTTGGTATTTGTAACTTTTCTTTTTTCATGAAGCTTGGTAGTGCCAGAAGCTAGGGTCCTTTAGCTGTTACATCCCAAGTCATTGCTCTTGACCATGCTCGGTATGGTGGTGTGAAGGCATGGTACACTACAGTATACAGCATGCAACAAACGTAGCAGATATCAAGCGTTTAGTTGCATGCTGCATGAGAACCTTTGGTTGGGATGCAATCCATAGTGGTGTTATATAGAACATGCAATTCCCACCTAGCTCAGTTACCTCTGTGGGTTGTATGCCTCAATTACTGCCACTGCTTCATATCTGCCCCGTTTTCTGCCATTCAGCTCAGTTGCTTGATAGCAATGTCTTGGTAAAAACGCGTGGCACTACAGGATGTAGGTCTTTATTGGTATTTCATATTATGGTTTTGAAAAAACTGTAACAGATGATTAAGAAATAGATCTGGTTTGTGAAGAATGCAGAGAGTTCATGAGGTTATACTACCCTTTAGTCAGCGCAAGCAAACAAGATGGATGGATTCAGAAATTCCGAAGACAATGTAGGTGAAAATATACATCGTGGAACATTTCTGAGACATGTAACAGAGCCAAGCACTGCATTACGTGCATGAGGCATGCATATTGAGATGTTCATTCGCAGATACAGAATGCAATCTGACACATAGAATTCCATCATGAGTACTCTTATGTCCTAACATACGCCCCACTCATCCCAACCCCTCCCCGCCTCCACCACCCCCCACTCCTCTCCTATCCCCCACTCCTCTCACATACCACTGTGTTGGGAAAGGCAGAATGAGTGCTGCTACCAAATCCCGGCTCGGCTCTGTTCACCTCCCCGACTGCTCAGCGCCACCGTAGTAAGGTTGGACTATCTTGGCGAAGAGCTTTATGACACTTATATGCATTTCATGGTGCCATGAGAGATTCAGTATTTGAATCATCATGCTTTCATGCATTCGGTTTGTCATGCATTGAAAATTCAGCATGCTTATCATTTCAACATAACATCCACCATGAAACTCATCATGCCATTGCACCATGCGGCATGCAAAACATCATGCTATAAGATATTCAGAATGCTTTCATCATGTCATCAGCTTTCCCAATGCAATACAACATGCTCGTAGCCATTTGGCATGCAATTTATGATGCCTTGAGAGTTTCAGTGTGCACATTTTTGCTCTTTAATATACTCAGCACCCAAATCATAAAGCCATGAGACATCAGCATGCATTCACCATGCTATGACACTTTCAAGGGACATTCGGTCTTCATTCCATCATGCCATTTTGATCATGCTCTGGGAACTTGAACATCTAGATCATCAGGCGTTAACACATTCAGAATGTGATTCGTCATGCCATGAGGCGTTCATCATGCAAAATCTAGTGCTTTGTGATATCACCATGCATAGAAACATCCAGAATGCTAATTATAATGTCATAGTATGACATATCTCGAACGCATCATCATCCTGTGTGGCATCCATTAAGCAACATCATCATGCGATGAGACCTCCATCACGGCTTGAGACATATAGCAAATCACCATGCCATGTAAATAACTCATTTCTTAAGTTGTCATGCCTTGAGACATTTAGCAAGTATGATATTTTTTTAAGGTAACATTCAGGTTCCAGTTTGTTCATCATGCCATGAGACCATAAATCGAGACACCCCAGCATGCCCTGTGTCGTTAAGAGAGCAAATCATTATGATTTTAAATATATCTTCTACGCCTACCATCAACTGATGACACATGTAGCGTGCAAATGAGAATGCTATGATGCAATGACAATGCATGTAATCATTCTGTAGGACATTCAACCTTCATTCCATGGTGCCATAAGGTATTAAGCAGGCGATTGGTCATGCTGTGGAAACTCATGTAGAATGCATATATCCATCCCGCAAGGAATGCATCATGCGATACATCTTGCTGCGAGACATTCAGCCTTCGCCTTGGTGTGTGGCATCCAGCATGCAATGTATCTTGCCTGGACTGGACACGTTATAGATGACAATCATCATGTCACGGGGCGGTCATCTTGCAATATGTTGTGCATTGAGACATTTAGCCTGCCATTTATGACGTCATGGGGGATTCTGCATGCTAGTAATCATGCTTAACATGCAGAATGCTTATCCGCATGCCATGCGACATGCATACAAGTCCCAAATCCTATGTGACATTCGCCATGCAAATCAGCATGCCATCAGATGTTTCAGCACACAATTCATCATGTTATGCGACAGTAAAAATGAAATTATCATGTCATGATGAGGCATTTATCCTGCAATACATTAAACCGTGAGGCAGTTGGCAATAACTCATGATGTCATGAGACAATAAGCAACTCATCATGGTTCGAGTCATTCAGAGGGGGATTTTTAATGCTATGAGACACTCAACCTTGATTTCTCATGGGATGAGACAATCAGCAGAGGATTGATCATGCTGTGCTTGTTCTGCTCTTGTTGAGTTTGTCCCACTTCCTAAAACCCGTGCTAGCAAGGTCTGCCGGGTGGATTGACGCATCCAAGGGAAGCGTTGAGGCAAGAAGAGCTTACTATTCAACTTTTGTCTGACCTCCCTTATGTCCAATTCTAACACCTGATTTACAGATTGACCCCAGAGCTGTTGATGTTTACGCACAGCAATTGCAAGGAGGCATGCCATGCGTTCCATATGCTTATGGAGAAGAGGTCAGAGTCATGAGAGAAGGTGACGTTCTGTAATTGACGAATGCCCTTAAACGTCCATAACTTGCAGGACCCCATATTTGTTGAGGACATCAACTGTGACCCGGCCGATGATGCTTCAATATTTAAAAATGGAATGGGTCCGACGCCATCATTGAATGAAAAAGACAACATCTCTCAGCTGCTTTTTCAGCGACGACGACTTCTCGGTTCAAGTTCATGCTGTTGAATGTGAAGGGTCTGTCTGCGTGATGACCAGGAGGACTATCGCAGATGGAATATCGCAATGTGAGATGAACTGCTATGTAGGTGGCATGGAGATTCAACTGAACGTCCACGCAATCTTGACATCAGCATATCAACTGGGGTCCGGGGATCTTGAACAAGATTGAGGTGAAAGAAAATCGATCCATGTGCAAGCAACACAGCATGCCCATGATGTTATTGTTGTGTATGTCATAAAACCATACGGTGTGGAACATCCAGAGAGTTGAGTTGTTTCCCAAAAGTCTGCACTGCCGGTTAAAAATGGTCATTATGGTAAACGCTATGATGCAGTAAGATATTGTACGTTTCAGAGCGGTGACAGTTAGCATACTATACTCCAATGAAAATAGCGTTCTTCGCAAACACTTCCATCTAAAGCTAGCCACAAACACACTCCTTGCAGCTCTGCCTACTGCCAGCTACCTGCTGCTTACAATTGACCAACCACACAACATTTCCTATCACGCATGTCATCCTGTTGCATTTCCAGGCACAAGGTCAGCGACAGTAATGCGGTACACTACCGTCACCTTTGCTTCCTGCGAAAGGCTACAGTGGCAACACGAGAGCCCTCCACTCCTCCAAATTTAAACGTGGGATATGTTTTCACATGGTCTACCATCTCAAAGGCCCCTCTCCATGGCTGCTCCTCTGTCTCATCCACACTGTTGATACCCACGCTCTCATCGTTTCCAAGAGCTGATAAAAGGACAGAAAAGGAATGGAATGGATAGGGCAAATCAAGACACCAGATGAAGAGGCTTGAATCTATCAAATAGGAAATGCAGATTATTACACAATGACTCTTCACAAATCAGTCACACGGAGAAGTTACCTGGAGGGGCAAACTCTGCTGTGAGCTCAGCCACAGTGCTGTTGCAAGAAGTGATGACCTGACGTTCCACAGGCGGGAAGAACATTTGAAGAGGACGGAAAGGGGAAGGGGGTTGCAGAAGATTGGGAAACGGGTTGAGATTGCCGCTTGCCAGAGCAACCAAGAGATGCTTTAAAAAAAAGGTGAGAGGAGACACGAGATAGGGTTGGCAAAGGCAGTCGCAGGTTGTATGATGATAGGCCTAAACGCATCAGTAAGATAGACACAGTGATGCACATACATAAAGGACTGATTATTGTGCAAGAACGCCAGGAACAAACTCAGTGCAAAAAAAAACAAAACCAAGCTTCCAGCACACCGAAGATGCACAAGAGGCATCTTTCGATTGCACGAACCAGAAGGCCGTTGGGCACAAGCAGCCTTGCCACCGTGTTCTTATAGCTTATCCTGCAGTGAGGACACAGGAGGCAAGTACAAATGATGGAATGTGAGGAAACTCGGGGTGGTGAGTGACAGAGAAAAACGCCAACATGGTGAGAGCAGTAGAAGAATGAAGGATGTAGAAGAAAAGCGCTCACATTCAACAGCACAATACACGAGCGAAACGCGACATGAGGCAAGAGTTCCTGATGGCATGGAGCGCTGTGACGGCAGTCTCACTTGCGAGTGGAGCCCTGTGGGTGCAATCGAACAGCGTCAAAGGTGCCCTTGTCCACCACCATGTAGCACGATGCTGAGGGCAGGCACGAGTCCAGCACATCGTCAGCCTGAGCTCCCAGGCAAGTGCTCCAACAAGAGGGGGGGAGAAGATAAGGGAAAAAGAACGCTCGGTGAGAAGCATCGCACGACGAATAGAATCAAGGCATCGCGTGATCGGCATGAGACTGGCATGGAAAGGAGCAGCGTGGCACGTCTGATGTGGCTGAACACAGGCCAAAATCCAGCTCGGCCAGACTGGGCGGGGACCAAACTTGGCCGGATTACGCCTGGCTCGACGGGCTGGTCGGGCCAGCCCGGGAGCAGCTCGTGTCGGGCTGAGTTTCAATGAAGTCTGGCACAACCCGCTCTTTCGTTGAAAAGGGCTGCCTAGCAGGTCCCGGCATGTGATGGCATGGCACGGGAGGGAGCATGACCTGGAATTGCAGGTGCATGAGACCCGCTTGCTCCGCCACCTGCTGTGCGAGCTGCACGGCTGCCTCACTGTAGTCCGTGCCCAGGAGATTGTGGAAACTGCCTTGCACACAAGGGACGGACGGCAGGTCAAAGGGGAGCAGGAGTGGGAGCAGGTGAGGGGGGAGGCGAGGAGAAGAGAGGGTAGAGCGGAGGTGGAAGACGATGTGGAAGGAAAAAAGGAGGGGGAATGGAAGAAAAAGGAGGCGTGATGTGCTGGCATTGAGACAAAGGAGCAATGATGGCGCCTGTGCTGTGTGGGCGTCAGTGCACAATGTAGATGCTGAAATAGTGACAAGGAGCATAGGCGGACTTGTGCCACAGGAGCGAACAATAACGACAACAAAACGCGGTAAGAAGGAAAGAGGTGTCCACGGGCGGAGATGGAGGGTAGGGTAGGTTGGGGGAGGGGAGGGAGGACGAGGGGAAGGAGGAAGAGGGGGGGGAGGGGAAAAAAGGGGGCGAGGGGGGAACAGACGGAGCCTAACAGATCAAGAAACGAGGAAGCATGACACACAAAAAACCAGCACGCATCCACGCGTCCGTCCCCATCCAACCCATAGACTCTTCCCCAGTTCACTTGCATGGACTAAATTGTGCTACGGGAGGGGGGGAGGGTGGCGAGGGGGGGAGGGGGACCGGAGGGCAGGGGAGGGGAACAAACGAAAGAGCCTGGTAGATCAAGTAAGGGAGAAGCATCACACACAATCGTAAGCACCCATCCACCCGTTCCCATGCACCCACAGTCACTGCCCCCCTTCACTTGCACCCACAGTCACTGCCCCCCTTCACTCGCACCCACAGCAGCGGCGCAGCAGCATCATCAGCTCACCCGTGTCGGGCCAGTGCGTGCAGCAGCAGTCCGTTACCCGTGCCCACATCCACCACCCGCCACCCCGCCGCCGCCCCTGCCAGCCCTGCTGCTGCTGCCCCTGACGCGCCCTCCCCTGACGCCCCTCTCGCCCCTGCTGCCGCCTCCCCCTTGTCCTCTCCCCCCTCCCCCTCGCCCCCTTGCTCCGCGCCTGTTGAATCGCCCCCAGCAGTGGTTGCTGCAAGCGCGCCTGCAGCGAGCGCGGCAGCAGTGGCGGCGGCTATCCGCGCTGTCCACTCCGCGCACGTCTCCATCACGTCCCCGCCGAACCTGGCATGGCGGGAGGGCGGAGTTACGTCAGGGGTTGGGCGGGGGGGGGGGGGGGAGGGGAATGGGGCGTGGGGGGAGAGGGGGGGAGAGTGTGGGGGGCGAGGGGGAGAACGGTGTAAGGAGTGAGGGGAGTGCAAGAAGAGGGACGGGATATAGAGAGGGGAGGAACGTGGGAGTAAGGGCGGAGAATGCTGAAGGAGGGAAGCCACAGTATGTGGGTGAAAGGGCGAGGAGAAGTGGAAAGCGCGAAACAAGAGAGGCGCGTGATGAGCATCCTCGAGTTGACTAATGCTCGGATCTTATCGGCTCCAGATCTCAGCTGCCTTTCGTCTCTCACTTCACTCTCCATTGAAACCTCCTCCCTTCACTACGACCAGCTTTCCAGCCTCCTTCAGCTCACCAACCTTACACGCCTCTCCTTGCCTGATGAGATTCGCCTCATTTCAGCAGATCCGCCTGTCTTCTCACTCGCGCAGCTACCTTCTCTCAACTCCCTGAAGTTCGGACTGCACGATGCACAGTTCAGCGTTTTTTTCCAGCATGGATCGCCGTACAGGCTCTTAAAACGGCTGCATCTGAGCCGTTGCTTCAGCCAAGAGACGCTTCCAAACACTCTAGGGGAGGTGCTGCCGTGCCTTCGAGTGCAAAACCTTCAGCGATCTGACTGACCAGTTCACCTCCCTCACCTGCCTGGAGACCCTGATAATATCCTCATGCAACGTGTCCACTCTGCCTGAGAACTTTGGGAATCTTCCAGCCTTGAAGACGTTGGTGCTGCACGAGCTGCCCATTGACCATCTCCCTGATTCCTTCACCAGGCTCTCATCTCTGGCGACATTTCTTATGGCTTGGTGCGGGGAGATATTTGAGCTACCTGCAGGGTTTGGCTGTCTCACAGCACTGCAGACATTGAGCCTTACATGGTCGCCGGCACTGGATCTTCCAGTAGACTTGGGCGGGCTGATTAATCTCCAGACTTTCCATCTCAGCAAGAACAGTGCAGGGCAGCTGCCGTCTTCATTCACACAGCTGGCTTCGCTGACCAGGCTGGAGCTGAATCGGTGCATGATTGATGACCTCCCAGAGGGCATTGGGGAGATGACAAACCTGCAGGAGCTCTACATTGAGAACTGCCTGGACATTAAGGGGCTTCCTGAAACTGTGACAGCGCTTGTCAACCTTCGAGTGCTGAGGATTGAAGAGTGTTCCAGTTTCTTGTTGGTTCCCAGGGGGCTGGACAGTCTTACCAGGCTGAAGGAATTGGAGTTGAGGGGATGTAAGCTGCTAAATGAAGCCCCTCAGGCTCTGCCACTCAGTCTCCAGGTTGGCACTACTTCTCAGCAGAAATGAGCTTATGGGGTCTCTGCCAGACATTTCAGCGCTAACAGAACTAAAGGAGCTGCACTTGGGGAGTGTGGGTGCAACATGTCTTGAGGCCATCAGTTCCAGTCTCTCTGGTGTGGAGCATCTGGAGCTGGAGGTGGCAGAAGATGCGGAGGAGCATCTGGTGGCGTTGGCAAGGCTTCATCGCCTCCGCACCTTGTCGCTGCACGAAGCCCGCAGCCTGAAGAAGCTGGTGGAATGTGGTGGCTCGGCATTGCTGGAGCTACGGCAGCTGACAATCTGATCCATGTGTGATGAATTCACAGAGCTGCCTGCGGCCATCACCACACTCCACCGCCTCACATCCATCCGGATCCTTGCGCGGAAGATATTTTCTCTTCCGGATGCCTTGGGGGCATTCTCAAGGCTGCGCAGGTTGGACTTATCCCACTGCTCGTCCCTCACGCATCTCCCTGCGTCCCTCACACAACTCTCCTGTCTGCATGAGCTGGACGTCAGCTGGAGCAGCATCCGGCTGCTTCCTCCTGGCTTTGCTCAGCTCAGCAGACTCAAGAAGCTTAATATCTCTTACTGCAAGCACCTTGAGGCTCTGCCTGAAGACATATCTGATCTCAGAATGCTCGAACACTTATCAACTGAGGGGTTTGACAGGCTCCAGCGTTGAGGTTGCCTTTACAGACTCTTAAGCTTAGGTCTCTAGTGTACCTGCGTGACAGTTTACCTAGCTCCACTGGCTTCAACTTTGACTTGACTGAATGAAGTTTCTTTCCAGCCTTGGTATATGGTCCAGAAAATTTTCAGAAAGAATTACATGCATTCTTGAATTCTCCTGGTTCAAAGCTACATTCCTTCAGTACCACGCTGTAGTACATGCTTCTTAATGCATCATGTCCCAGCACACACACACACACACACGCACACCCAACACAGGACAAGGGTTGCCGGTGAGGTGCTGCTGTAAATGTATGCAAGGGTTTGATGATGCAGAATATAGGACAGAAAGAATATAAACATGACGTATCAAGAAGAGGGCAGCACATGAAAGAGGGCAGGGTATGCGTATGAGTATGAGTATGAGTATGAGTATGAGTATGAGTATGAGGGTGTGATACTATGATGAGAGGTGATAAGAGGTTGTGAGAGGTGACAGGGACATGGGAGATCAGCAATAATTGTATTTTTGAAATGTTTACCGTATAATACATTATCCTATACTAGGCTCCTGTGAGTAATTTCAAAATTACGGTCGTATTTTTTAACATTGGAAATTAGAGAGAGTCAGTTCAGGTGCATGATTTCCTCAGGACATAACTTTTTTGTGCATTGTCTCGAACCCTCTTTCCATTCCCCCAAACCCTCTTCACGATATCGCTATTTACAGCCCTCTCGCTCCCCTCCTTCACCCATTTATACTCACCGTCACCTCCATTCCAGCAGCACCTCTCTCAACCTCATGGGATTCAGGGAACGGATGGGTCTCATCTCATGGGTTGGACAACATCGAAGGCGGTAGCAGCCGGTGAAGCGGAAGAAGGTATGCACAAAGGCAGCTGAAACCCCTCCAAAACCCTCAATCTCACCCCCTCAACTCCTCTCATACCCCCTACTCCTCTCCTACTCGTACTCTTACTTCTATCATACTTCCGACTCCTCTCATACCCCCCTCACACCCTATTCATCTCACCACGCCCACTCCTCCCATACCCCCCATTCTTCCCATATTCCAACATGCCTCTCAATCCCCTCCCCCCCTTGCACCCCTCGCACTTCTCTCATACCGCCATCACCCCAACTCCTCTCATACCCCCCACTTTTCTCATAGCCCCCACTCCTCTCACAACCCCCACACCCACTCCAATCACACCCCCCACTCCTCTCATACCCCCCACCCCTGTCATAACTCCCATTGGACATGCCCCCCCTCCTCTCAGCTTTTGATCTAAGATACCACGAGAGATTCAGTATGCGCTCATCTTTTTAAACGTTCGAGCGGCAGTAGTAGGTAGCTGGGCAGCAGGAGCTGCAACGGTGCACTGGTGGCAGCTGCAGTGGCAGCAGTGTGCACGGTAGGTAGAAAATAACAGCAGTGAGAGCGAGTGCCTCGCGGGCGGCGGCTGCAGAAGCGCACGGGCGGCAGCGGCGGTGCACGGGCAGCGGTGGCGCACGGGCAGCAGCAGTGCGCAAGCAGCAGCGGAAGAAGCGGCGTACAAGCGGCTGCGGGCAGCGGGGCGTGCGCGAGTAGGCGACCGGCGGCTGCGGGGCGTGGGCGAACAGGCGACGGGCGGCTGCGGGCGGGCGGCCACTGAGACAGCGGGCTGCGGGCCTGCGGGGCGTGCGTGCGCAGGCGACGGGCGGCTGCGGGGCGTGCGCGAGCAGGCGACGGGCGGCTGCGGGGCGTGCGCGAGCAGGCGACGGGCGGCTGCGGAGCGTGCGCGGGCAGGCGACGGGCGACTGCGATCCGCTGGACTGATCGCACCAGTGAGGACGACACGTGGGTGCCATCCGCCTCGCTCGACGCCTCGCCACTTGTTGGTGATTATTTGGCACGCCGGCGTGTTTCGGATATTGACCGCCTTTCTTAAAAGGGGGGTGGGGGGTGTAAGGATTTTTTTCGAGTTCCTTATCGGGGTTGACTGCTGCGCGTACAACCCGATTTTCACGTTCGGGCGATTTCCACGTTGCCGAGGCTCCTCGCGTCGCCTTCGGCATTCCCATCGCCAAACCTGCACCCAACCTCGCTCGTCCGAGGTTTCCTCCTAGCTAGGCTAGCCCTACATTAGTCTGTGCATTCATTGTATTCTCAGTTCATTCAGTCACAGCCTCGTTATTCGTTTACCTGCGCACTCTCTTTTACAACTCATAACATCTGGGCGCAGTTTGGCAGGCATCATGGCCATTATGGCCAGAATGGGCATTTTTAACGGGCCCCAAAAAAATGCCGCCTGGGCATTTCAAGAAGCAGCTTCGAAATCGGATTTTAGCTGCAATACACCTTCGAAAAGAATGGGCTGAGTGTTCGGTTGGCATTTTTTTGGTGTAGATTGATGGCATCAATCGAAATTTAGGGTTTCGCAGAAGACGGGAGGCACTTGCCAAGATGGTTTGTGTGATCACGTGATTGGCTGGCAGTCACTTTTGATTGCCCCGAATCACTGATACCCCGCATGGTGCGGGCCCTTGAGGCCGCATGGTGCGGGGTGTCCGAAAATGGGCTCTTTGCTAGGGAAAATGGGGTCGTTGAAGAAACGGTGGGTTGGAAATGCCATCGGATAACAGGGTGTTTGGTTGGCATTCCATTATTGTCAGGTTCGGCGTAGTCCGCTTATATCGAACCTTGATAATCTTCCACACGCTTATCAGGGAAGGTTCCAGGGTGGTCGGTTCACTGTAGCCCAGTCCCCTCGCCCGGTTTTTTTATGCCTGCCAAACTGGGCCCTGTTCTGTTCCTTGAATTCCCAACCCTTCTACTACCCTTGAAACCCGTTCTATCATCTAAGCAGTTCTGATTAGTAATGGCTACTCGAACTCGCAGTACGGAGCGCGCGCGCATAAACTCTCTCCCGACTCACCTCCTCGTGAAAATATTTTGGCATGCCAGCCAGCCCATAGTAGGCGAATCTGGTAGTGACACTTATTATAAGTGCGTAAGTCCAAGGCCCGATTTCATGGGCGCGTGTCGGTCAAGGTTTAGTGAGAAGAGCATCTCTCCTGTACAAGCACCTCCTGCTTACGCAGATGCTGCGTGGAATCTCCTCATCGCTTCCGTCTGCCGTGACTGGCGTCGTCTCGCTCGGCGCCACATCAGCAGCCTTTCAGTCCGAGAGGATCTCGTTGTCTCCCGTCAAGATCTCGCCAACGCCATCAGTTGTTTCCCAAATCTGACCCACCTCCACTCGAACGACGGCAGTGTGGAGAGCATCGACGACTCCCTCCTCGCTCACCTCGCCTCCACTTGCCCTAAGCTCAAGGCGCTACACGTGGGAAGCAGGATCAACCTATTTAACTATGAAGGTGCTGCTAGCGCCGAAGACTTTGAAATTTGGAGTTTCTTAACTGCAGATCCTCATCTTATAACTGAAGCTGGTTTGGATCGGCTCTTCAGACGGTGCACAGGAATCGAGCAGCTTTCGCTCTTCTGCCTTCACGATGACGTCAAGCTGCCGCCTTCGTTCCTCCAACTAACGCACATGCGTACCCTTGTCCTAACAAACTCTTCTGTTTTCGAAGCTCCAGCTTTTGCCGGTTTTGGTTCTCTCTCCACTCTTCTCGTAGCCTCACGGGACCTCAGTACGCAGCAATTTTTAGGCCTCCGCCATCTCTCTAACCTCTCCAGTCTTTCTATATCTCATCAGACCCTCCCGACTGTCACTCGTTCTTCCCCATCTCTACAGCTACCCAGCCTGACGTCGCTGCAAGTCAATTGCCTCGGCCAATCATTGTGCGAGCTGTTTCCTTCAGGCTCACCTGGAACCAATCTTCAACGGCTAGAAATCAGCTGGGGAAACCCTAGTGAGATTCTCCGCAGTGACATTGGAGATCTGATGCCGTGTCTGCGGGAGCTTGACCTTTACTTCTGCAGCTGCTTAACTGAGCTGCCAGAAGAATTCACCTCCCTCAGACCATTGGAGAGCTTGCACATCGCTGCTTGCGACGCGTTTTCCTGCCTTCCAACAAACTTCGGTGGGTTATCAGCTCTGAAACGGTTGAAGCTGAACTCGCTGCGCCTCACAGACCTCCCTGATTCCCTCTGCCAGCTCACATCCCTGGAACTCCTCTCTCTCCTCGATTGCCAATGGCTCCGCCAGCTGCCAGCGGATTTTTGCTGCCTTAGTGCTCTTGAGACGCTGTATCTTGGACACTCTCGGCTGTTGGTGCTACCAGAGGACATCGGAGGGCTGATCAATTTGAAAACCCTACTCCTGGAAGAGACTTGTGAGGTGCAGCGGCTGCTCCCATCTTCCTTCACGCAGCTGTCTGCTCTAACACATTTGGAGATTAATCACTCCAAGGTTGGAGCTCTTCCTGATGACCTAAGGATGCTCAGTAACCTGCAGCACCTGCACTTGAATTCCTGCCCGAATCTCACAAGGCTTCCAGACTCCTTCTCAGGTCTCACTGGGTTGGAGATCCTAGTGATCTACGGCTGTAATCGGCTCTCTTCAGCCCCAGGGCTGGACGGCTGCACAAGGCTGAAGCGGCTGGAGCTGATTGGTTGCACGCGGCTGACTGAACCTCCGACATCCCTCCCTCCCTCCTTGGATATATTAGCCATGCCAAGCTACC